TACTTTTCGCCGCGGGATATTACTTGGGCCTGAAAATTTATTCTTAGTGAGACAATAGTCGAGTATCGAAAATCTGGCAGGAAAATATAAGATAAAAAGTTCAAGCTTATTTAACGAAAAAGTTTTTATCAATTCCTCTAAACAGTCGTAAAATAGTCTTTCCACGGGTTTAAACGAGAGATAAATGAGAATTCTACGCAAAATGTGATTTTAAATGGGTCTTCCTTCAATTTCATACTGTATTAGCTCTATTATTACAAAGAGAATTCGTGATGACAAGGTTCATGATAACTGATCTTAAAATCCCAGGACATCCCTGGTCAAACCTAGAAGACAACAGATTTAAAAAAGCCGTTTCAGATTGGAAAATTTCAAAGACTAAACTTGAGTATCAACAATAAATTAATTTATTTTTATATATAAATTATAATTTTAATATATTGTCATTATTTTCTTGCCATATAATGTGAAAAAATGTAATACTATAATAATAGTGCAAAATTTTAATATTAGGATGCATAATTTATTATTTATGAAAATAAATTCCCCTGAGAGGATACATCCGTTGTATAAATTACAAACTGGCATCACAGATATATTTCAACGATAATTTACTGAGAGCAGAGTTCTATTGGGCCGATTATCAAACTGACAGGACAGATCTATTGATGGATCAATATTTGGAGATAATCAACTGACAGGACAGATCTATTGCAATATTTTTAACTAATTAGACGGGTATATTGTAAAAATGATTAACTGAGACGACAGAGCTATCAGACCATGTGCTGGAACTACTGATATTACTGAAGTCGCTCACTGATGTGAGGAAGTATGATCCACTCACACAATCGGACAACAATAAAGCAAGAACAGATTCAGCAGATAATTATTGAAATTGATGATATGAAAGTTATACTGGCGTTGTTCGGGCCAATCGTATAAGGTGGCTGAATTCGAATATTTATATATTGGAGTGTATATCAAACGAATGGACTAGGCGAATCTTGCAGAAAAGAAGGTGGTTACAAAATATGTCGTTCAGTAAACAATTCTCAAAAGCGTTACCCTGGCGAATTATTTATCTAATGCAGAGAAAAATTAACTAATTTAACAAACTGGCAAACAATCGCAAATATGGCTCAAATAAGGACAAATGAATAAATGGCAAAAAATTACAAACCAAAGATTTAGTATAGTCTTAGTGTTAATTACTGCTGGAAGGTACCCTAGAAGGAAAATACTCTAGACGGAAATAAGAAATGTGTATTTAGAGACTTCACTTTAGAAACTTTGAGAAAAATATATGGAAACGTGTTTCTCGGCTAACACTTGATACCACGTTTACAGGTAAATTGAAACTTGAGAAATTAATAATTGGCCATTGATTTGTCTAGAGTGGTATAGAAATAATTAATTACAGAGAGTAAACAAATTTAAGGAATAAATAGCACATTCATTCAAACGAAACGAAAGGGAAACATCAATCAGGAAGAAAGGTAGAACTTAATTAAAGAACTGCTGAAGCTGTGCCGGCTGAAGTCAAGTGACTGCTATTAAGGCTTGTTCAAATTAATAATTGACAATTTGAACGACGCGTTGGGCGAAGAAAATGATTGAATGAAATTTAGGTCGATCGACAGGTAATATGAATCGAATAAATGCTGGTACCAGAATGTACCTTGGCTAAAACTACTACCTACTCTAACTACGGAACTGCTTAAAAAAATCTTAATGACAACAATGAACAAATGAATCAAAACAAACAAAAAACAAAAATGAACAATGGTGGGAAAATTTTTTCACAATGATTGGAAAAATAAACACTAACAACAAATCAACTTTTATGCTAGGAATAAATGAAAAAAACCTATCGCACGAAAAAAAAAACGTTTAATTTAATATGCAGCATCCATGAAAACTTTATGCGTCGAGAAATATTTCACTGGAAATTCATGCTATACAAGTCTAAGTTGGGACTATCGTGGGATTAACCATAAGTATATGTAGCCTGGACAACTAAAACAGCCGTAAGTATTATATCAAAAAGACCAAGGAGGGCCTTCGGGCCAAAAAGCTAGTTGGGAGTTGAAGCTCTCGGCGCCTCCAGGGTAATTGCGATATGCATTGAACGGCCGCGCGGTGTTGCGGTCAGCGGGACCAGGCGCGTTAAATGCCGTCGCTCGAGCAGCCAACGATGAGGCCAACGGCGCCTCCAGGGTAATTGCGATATGCATTGAACGGCCGCGCGGTGTTGCGGTCAGCGGGACCAGGCGCGTTAAATGCCTCCGCTCGAGCAGCCACCGATTAGGCCAAAATGCTTGCCAACGATATGAGGCCAAAATGCTTTCGGCGGCAGGGAAACTGGAATATTCAAAATGCTCACGATGAGTGTCACAGTTATTGATAAGTTAAATATGAACATGGGAAAATCAGCGATCAAAAATCAAAAAATTCTCGCTTGTCGTTGCCACACGAAAATGGAAAAATTTAGCGCAATCTGGGTGCGGCGCTGTGAATCATTATGAAAAGAAGCACTTTCAGTTTGTAATGCCTTTATTAAATCATTAGCGTTCCCAAGAACCTGTTTATGAAAATTTACAAAACTTCTTTCAATATAAAAACATCAAGTCGGAAATTTGCTAATATAAAAGGATAACCATATGTCAATCATCTGTAAAATATAACGATGGGGCAAATGACTGGAGATTAATATGTTTTTTCTTTGGAGTTGCAATGATGATGTTCTTTAGGACAGCAGCTCGAAAAATGGCTAATTGAACATATACAGAAAAAGTATTGGCAGAAAATATTTATTAAGAAGTAACTATATTTAATGTGTTTCCACGCATGACAATTTATTTACGCTACTGGAATAAGAACTATCCATTAGCTTATTTTCGGGAATTGAAACGCATATTGTCTGAAAGAACACCAAGGTTTTCCAATTTCAAATTTTGCCGAAAATTCGTAAAACCTTGCAAAAAAACTAATTCAAGTTTGTCGAAATTCTGAAGTAACATTGGGATTATTGCAAGAAGCAGTTCATGAACTTATATATAGTGTGGCAGTGCAACTACGCATATCGTGACGGGGTCGATGGGTTCACGCAGCCACGCAACTAACCAATTGAGTGTTTCATGAAATAAAGCAACCTTCCAGTTCTATTATATTAAAAACACGAATTTCATTCTGCCCAGCGACTATTCATCAAAAATTCAAGCATCCGTTCAGACTTTAGAAATCGTTAACTTTGACCCTGAAACAAAAAAAAAACAAGGGTGAAGATTTGTTGTGGCGGTGCCACTATGAAAGAGCAGAAGAGAAGAAGAGCTGGCGCAGTGGCCAGAAAAAGGAAGGAGAAATGGGAAGGACAGTAGGAGATGAAAAAAGCGCATTGCGAATGATTGGGTGGGTTGTTGGTGAGTGCAGTTGGTTGGGGTTGTAGAGGGTGAAATTGCCGTACCTGAATAATACAAAATTCCAGTTTACGGAATACTGGAAAGAAATGGAAAATTTATTGACCTTGAATGCCAAATCATTCTAATGTCTCAATTCGAGTACGAGCCGCGAATATGTTTGTGCATTTCAAGCAAAAATAGGTGATGCTAAAAATTTTCATTTCCGCGTGATAAGCCTAATTTCGTCGTTTTTTCTTTTACGAACTCTGTTTTGTCGTAAAATAAACGGGAAATCTGGTATGATAAAAATATATTGCAACATCAAAAATATTTCCAACCTCTTTATGAAATTTATGCAACTTAAATTGCTGTTAATCGTCAGGAAAGTCGGAATATTAATGCTAAAAGAAAAGCTCTCAAATTTAAAATAAATTGTCTTTTCCGCATGACATGAATGAACCTCGCGGCGGAAAATGCTTCGTAAATGAAACTGAAACCATGTAACCTTTATTGTCACAATTGTCACTTCGATCGGTCATCCATTCTGCATAATGAGTAAAAGTTTCCCTAAAATAATGTATTGAGTATATTTCTTTAAGAAAACAGCTATAATTTCTGAACAACATATTGCACAGCTCCATTCCTCGAGTCATGATGCAAAAAATATAACTCAGTACTCACTGCAGTGAGTGACAGAGAGTGCATTTTCTCGTCGACGAAAACTTGAGGTCACGGACAGACGGACAGACAGACGGACGGACATGACGAGCACAATGGTGCATTTTTTCCATAAATGAGAAAATGCACTAAAAAGACTTAGAAGTAAGGTGGAACAGATCCTGTAAACTGCATGGTCGCTCGGAGAATACACTCCCCATTGACGGACTCCCAGCTGTCGCGTTTCCCGACTAGCGCTTGATCCGACCAACAATTTTATAAATATGCCCCCTGTTTGCATTAGAAGAATAAGTTTCAAAACATGCCCCCTGTTTGCATTATAAGAATAAGTTTAAAAACTTAACAGCTTTTCAAGACGAACCATTCAAAATTGGGAACAGCACACAACACTGTATAGATTTATCTCTGCTTCATTTTTTGCTCGATGACAAATTGTTGAAAATTTCCGGTCCAGAATGGCACACATAAAATCATTTATTTTTCGATTGAGTGTATATTCGTGAATTTTTGCAACTGCTCATGCAAGCAGTTGTACACAACTATTAATAGTTTATTAAATAAAGAATGTAATTAAGATATTAATTCCGAGGAAATCTTTTATTAAGTGGGGATTGAAACGTTGCCGTTTCAACGAATTTTTAATTTTATCATTGATAAAAACTTGTTTTCATTTTCGAAAATTTATTTTCTGAAATAAAACCCTTCGTTTAATTAATTGTAACATAAGTGGGTTGCATAATAAAATCTTTGGTTAACTCCTAGGAATTTCGTTCCCCATGAGAAGTGCTGTGGATAATTTCAGGAACTTGTTCGACTCAGTTTAAAATGGAATAAAATGAGAATAATCAGAGAACTGTTATGACTACAGGCTGACGCTGATGAGGCTGATGATGATGAGGCTGACGAGCTGACGATGATGAGGCTGACGATGATGAGGTTGACGATGATGAGGTTGACGATGATGAGGTTGACGATGATGAGGCTGACGATGATGAGGCTGACGCTGATGAGGCTGACGATGATGAGGTTGACGATGATGAGGTTGACGATGATGAGGCTGACGATGATGAAGCTGACTCTGATGAGGCTGACGATGATGAGGCTGACGATGATGAGGCTGACGCTGATGAGGCTGACGATGATGAGGCTGACGATGATGAGGTTGACGATGATGAGGCTGACGATGATAAGGCTGACGATGATGAGGCTGACGCTGATGAGACTGACGCTGATGAGGCTGACGATGATGAGGCTGACGATGACGAGGCTGACGATGATGAGGCTGACGATGATGAGGCTGACGATGATGAGGCTGACGATGATGAGGCTGACGATGGGCAAGTATCCAATAAACTGTCTCGAATAAATCAAGCCAGTGACGTAGCTTCGTCAAATAAGTTCTCATGCTGAATTGAGTCAGGATTGCAAAGTAATTTCTGGTACATAAATAATTACTCCTAAATTAAATACCTATATTTCTTTCAAATTGCCTACGTTCACGATAAATCATACATTTTGTTGCGTGGCGCGAAGAAAGGGTTAAATTCATAAGATGTTCAAATGATATTACAAAATAATACTTTAATTTCCAAAATATTGTTTACAAATGAACATGTCACACGGCATTAAATCGTTAGATATCCTAAACGCCGCTCTCCAGTGGGCATGAAACTACATCCAATTTTTCTACTCTAAAAGAGCTAAATTAAATAAAACTATAAAAATAAACACTCACCGTATATGATCCTTTGCTGGCGATACACTATTGAGTTCTCGTGAATTATTTATCCAAACGATCTTGATTGTAATTCTTGACAAAAAAATTATTATGAGGGCTCAATTCCCTGACGTCAGCGATCGGTATACGCTCAACAGCAAAATTTATAGAGCGAAAATTTTAATCAAAGAGTCATTCCTAAGTTTGAAGGGCAATTGTTTTCTCACACATAAATTTCCGCGCACGCTTGTCGCAATAAATATTAAACAACACATTTATACAAAGATTTTTAATATTTATCCAAGTTCTGACATTGCCGAGATTAGTTAAAGTGAAATTCATTCGTAAAATTTTTCTAATGTTTAACGTTGCTGAAAATTTCAGCGAATCACTGTTAAAAATTCCAGACACGCACTTCACTCGAGGCTGGCGAGGGTCTGGGGACACGCTGAGCACGACAACCTCACCGTACCAGAGCAGAGCGCGCACTGACGATGGGATCCGCCGCTGCGGACTGAGGGCGAGGAATCGGCGAGTCACCCCTCGTGTGAATCACTCATGTTTCATGGAATGAGAATTAATTAGATTGTAAATTCGTTGACATCAAAGCGGTAAATTTGAAACGAATTGAATTACTTTGGTCATTTTTCTAAAAATCCCATAAGAAAATTTGTTAGGAATTCTGCATTTGAAATGGAAAACAAGTGAATGAATAAATACAGAAAAAATCAGAAAGTTTTATTTAAATGTTGCCGCTATGATATCAACAAAGAAATATAACAGAGTACGAAACAACAGCCACACACGCGTCCTGCCAGTCAGCACAACGGACAAACAAAAGCTCGGCTGCGGACCGAAGTGCAGCGCAGATTCGTCGCTTTTCTGCCCAGGCATCCAGCCTCATAGAAAGTCCAATTGCCCAAGCCTCGCTAGCATTCCCAGAGCTAATAGTGTCACATTCCATCACAGATATCATTACTTTCTGTAGTATAAATTAATAATATTGTAGACTGCTTTTAGGTTTCTGCGAACATAACTATACTGTCAAAATCTAGTCAGAGAAAGAAATTTGATTTGAGGGAAACGCATTTACCGATCATAAGTTTAAACAAATGCTCTCAATTATTCATATTAACATCGATCAGCCATCGTTTGCTGTGAAAAAAGCATGGAAATGCACCGACGCGTTTACAATCACACAGCGGCCTCTCAATGGACGGCCGAAAATTGGCCCTAAAGCGACCCTGAACGGGGCTTGGATCGATGGGCGCTGACAGGAGGGAGGAAGACCCGGCCGTCGGCGGCACAAGCTTTACGCACGCCACGATAGCCGTGCCATCTCACTGATCTTCAATTAGCATTCGTCGGGTCCAGGCCGACAAACTAGGCCTATGGCTCCTATTCATTTGTAAAATTTCGAGGGACTAGAGAAAGGTTTGGTGGTCATAGCTGAGGCAGGATATGTGGTTGAAGCCAGTGAATGGATTAATGGACACAGATGAAGACACTACTATTTGTAGCCGTAACATGGATGAAAATCAGCAGTCACTTCCGCAGAAAAATCTTGTTGTTGCCGCTGGAAGGTTACTAGACATGACCCAAAGCACTTATTGGTATGTCATCGTAAGGATTAATAATTATTGACATAGCCGGAATACTGACATCTAGGCGTCTTAAGTGGGAGCATTAGTAAAAAAATCTGAGATATGATCTCTTGTATTTCGTATGATAATTGATTTTGAGGAACAACGACGAAGCTGAATTTAAGCGACAAGCAGACATGAACCTTCCGTCCCACAGCATGCGGCCAGCGGTTAATCATAGCTTGTGGCAAATTGGCACGTGTTGTAGCGAGGTCAGGAGCACAAGAGAGGCAAAGATGCTTTGCTACCTTGAGAGGAAATTGCGTGGAGAGCGCGGCTAATTAAATCGCTGGAATTTTCATCAAAGCCGTGTGCATTTGAGGGCCAAGCTCAACGCTTGAATTGCCCGCCACTTGATGATGTTATTGTGAATCACATCTTGATTCGTTGCACAAAAATATTCATTTCAAGAAGACGAGCAGCTAACTAATTAATTATTCATAAATTCCTATGTAAACGTGAATTTCTATAAATAAACTCGATGAGACATAATCTTGGGTCGATAAGAAAAACACGAACAAGTCGATCGTTGAGAATTCATAGAATGCAAAACACTACACTAGTTATGAGCATAATCAAAAATAATTTTAAAATAATAATTTTATATTCATTTTAATAATTTAAATATAAATTTTTAATATTTTTTCAATATTTTCATGATTTGTTTTCATTATTATAAATGAATAAATCATAATTTAATATAAATTATTTTAAATTATTATTTGTTTAAATTATTTAAAATTTATTATAATGCAAGTTATATTCATTAGATTTAAATTTCTCCTGATTTTTTAGTAATCTTGATGAGAATTATTTCGCATAAGCATGAATAATCTTGCTGATAATTCATTATTTTCAGTTTGGTTAGCGTGAGATGAATGCAAGAGCGCCACAACACTGCCGCTGATCTCTCTCTGAGGACGACCAGCACGTAGCGCTGCAGACAAGAGGATTACAGCGCACCTTATCTCTGCTCGGTACATTCAATGAGTAAATTTATTTTACTGATAACATTATTTTGCGTTTCCCACCTTTTAATCCAGCATTTACCACATTAAAGATTCCAAAAAGTAACTTTTGAGCATTTTTATTTCAGGTTCATCATGAGATGACAGGATATTTAAAAAAGTTCTTGATATAATTTACGTTGAGTAACTTTTTCAGTAATGGAGCCTATATCTTTTAGTAATGGTTATATCTAAAAATATCTCCTATATCTCCTATATCTTTCAGTAATGGAGCTTTTGTTGCAGGAGCACTCGATTACGTAAGCCGTTAGTATCTGTTATGATCGCTAGTTTAGATTACGGCCTCATGGGTTTAACTAAACGGTTCATGATTACGCAAGTATAATTAATTGATGCGTTGATAAAATAATAAGAAGTTTTCTTGAAGATGATCCGGTGAACATGTCAACATAGCTCATTCATGGGCAGATTCCCAAGAAATTAAGATTTTTGATGCTCGTCCAGAAAATTTTTTCAAGTAAATGTGTTTTTTCAATCTACATAGTGATGTCGGCGCTGAAGAGTAGGCCTGATGCGACCTGTCTCCGATTTTTACTTTTCGTGACTCTACACAGAAGATCTAAACTCGTGTCATTTGACCGGATCTTTTCAGGATGGACGATAGATTGAAATAGCTACTAGACTTCCACTGGGTTCGATATGGTGCTAGGCATTTCAAGTCTGAACATATATTTTTCTATAGCTTTATTTAGTCTGCTCTTGAACGCGTTTATACTCGGAGCGTCGACGATGTAATCGGGGAGGCTGTTCCTCATGTCGGTGATTCAAAGCGAGAAGAAATGTTGTCGCGTAGATAAGTTGCAACGCAGTTTTTTAGTTGAATTGCGGTAATCTAATGTTGAAATCTAATCTACTGTTGAAATTTGCGGTAAATTTTGTATTCCGAATGAGGAAAGCACAATTGATGAAGAAGTCACGTATGGGTGCCGTGGTCCTTTTCTTTGGTCGTAATTAAAATGTAATGCCTACATATAAATGGTATCTAACGAAATGTAAAAGAGGAAATACAATTAAGTTAATGGTATTGTTAAAGAAGGCATAAGTTGCGTTTTCGGATTGAGTTATCTGAAACGATAGTCGTCCATTTCTATGCCCAGACCTAAATTTATTTCCATATACCAATTTCTTTGAGCGCTGTAGCGAGGGGGTGCTGATGCTATTGTATGGAACGATTATATAGGCAGATGTTAAGTGATTGGCAGACGCATGATAACGTGGCCTCGAACGCAAACTGAAGGATGAGGAGAATCCAAAGGGGGATTTTTGGGTGGGGCTTTTCTGATAACAAACATTATTTTCACCAGTGAACATTGTTTTTTCCAGCATTGCAAGCACATTTCGTTGAACAATGAGCCGTTCGTGGAATTACATAACACTGACACAAGTTGGTTGACTTTCGTGGAACATGTACTGTATATAAAATGAGCAGAATTCTATGTCCTCCGACATTGTCTTATGCTTAAGGAACCAAAACGTGTGGATAATATTTTATTTTATCCTTATCTATACGGAAGACACTCGATAAGGTTGCGGAATATCACTTTTGCGGACACAACTAGAAAATATTGCAAAAAAACTCAGTGATCCCAGCGGTGCATCATATTGGAGAGGAGGATTCGTAGCTCGGATATATTAATATAGAGGTAGATACAGCGAATAAATTCATATTTAGATTCCATTAATTTTGAAATGAAAGAAATAAATAAGCATGTTTTCATTTGGGTATAAGTACGTTTTCGGAATATTGATGTCAGAACGCGGTTATTGAACTTAAAAATATATCATATGAAAAATATTATTAAATATTGTTTAGTGTCGAGCTTAGAAGTGAATTTGATTAAATTTTATAGATTTAAGGCACTATGATATTAGCCTTGGCCTATGATATTAGCCTATCACGCTCAGCTCCATTGTGAATATAATGTGTAAATTATCGATTAAACTCCAGTACAGAAATCACGATGTAGTTGGTCCACTGAATGCATTCATTCATATAAGATACATTTGTTTGGTTCTTTTTTACTGTACTCGGTATTAAATCGGAGGTGAAAAAATAACAATAAAATGACAATGGTACTCAATACACGTGGTGAGTCTACCAGGCCCGCTTTATAGAATATTTGCATCGTTATAATATATTTTGTTCAAGATCGCGTTTCAAAATATTAAAAGCTCTTTTAATTTATACACAGCTACAGCACTCGCATTTCTAGAGAGTTTTCGAGCAAATGCTTGGGACAGTTAACGATGGATATTTAAATCTTTGAGTCGAGTTTCAAGTTTTTCAACGTTTTACTAGCAGGTTATGAAAAAAGGATTTTTAATTTGGATATGAAGAGTTTTTAAATCAAGGTTTTGAGCCAGTCAAAATAAAACTTCCATAGATTCTCTTTCAGAAGTCGAAGTTAGCTTTACTGAAAAAATTTTTCCTGAATTGATCGGGAATTGGAAATTATTCTTATAAATAATGAAAACTTAGTGCATTAATTTTATAGATTATTTTCACCGTAAACAGCAAATTTCTGTCATCAGGTAATCGTTTCAGTATCAATTCTCCGGTAAAAAAAACCCTCAGTCGTCTAATTAAAAAAAATCAAAAAGAGAAACGTTAAACGAAGTCAAGTGGGTTTCGCCTGCAATTTACACCAGAATCGGACAAACTTTTGCATGTTAACGTATAAGCAAATAAATGTAATACCAGTTGTGCTTTAATGCAGTCTCTCTGCCGCCGTGTCTCCAGTTAACTGTGAAAGAATATTAGATCAACGTCCGCCGTTGTGTTCTGTCCTCCAATATTAAAGGCCAGGTCTGGAGTGTGGCA